CCAGTGCCTGGCACAGGGTGGGGGTGCCCGGTCAGCTGTGCACCCTGGCTCGTTGGTCTAGGGGTATGATTCTCGCTTAGGGTGCGAGAGGTCCCGGGTTCAACTCCCGGACGAGCCCTCCTTTTGGCACCCACCACCGGGCACAGCCCCTGTGCAGCCGGAGCAGAGACAGGGGGGGGATGCTGCCCAGCACAGGGGGGATGGGCAGCCTCCCCAACTCGGCAGCTCCTGCCAACACCAACATTCGCCCCAAGCCCCCTGGGGAAGGGAGACAAGGTGCCACGACACTTCGCAGTGCCTGGGCAAGGGAGGGAAAGAGCTGCGGGCATTTCCTCACAGCCTGCTGGTGCCTGGAAGCATCCCCAGGCCAGCCGTGCCCACAGGCAACCCCGGGGCTTTTCTGTGGGGCGTGGGGGGCTCTGCCAGCCCCGCAGCTGGCAGGGAGGGGGCTCTGGGGAGGCAAAAGGACATGGAGATGCTGGGGGTTGAACCCAGGGCCTCTTACATGCAAAGCAAGCGCTCTACCCGCTGAGCTACATCCCCTCTGCACAAGCAGTGGTGGGGGCCTGGGCAAGTCCCCTCACTGCCCCATCACTGCTCACTGCTCACCCTGCTTTGCCCCAAGGCCCCCAAAAACAGACCATCAGGGGCTGCACTCCACCATCCTTACTGCTGCTTCTAAGGGGCTCCATCTTGGCCATGGGGATGTGCCCAGCCCAAACACTCTGCCCCTCCTGGCTGCACCAGCACTGGTGCCCTCCTACCACCCTGGCCCTGGTCCCACCACAGGCTGGGGCCACACATGCCAGCCAAGGAAGGCAGGTGCCCAAAAGGAGGGCTCGTCCGGGAGTTGAACCCGGGACCTCTCACACCCGAAGCGAGAATCATCCCCCTAGACCAACGAGCCAAGCTGCAGTAAAAGGGCAGGAACCCTCTCCTTGAGCCCCATTACTCAGGGAACTGGTTGGGGTGAGATGGGACCTGGGGAAGCTCTTTTTGGCCTTGATGGATTTTCACAGCTGGGAGGTCCCCCTTGCTCTGCTCTGGCTGCAAGGTGGGGGCTGGCACCAGAACATGGCCACAGGCTGTAACTGCCCTGGCGCCAAAAGCCATGGGGCCAAGAGGACCAGGGCAGGCAGCAGGACCCCCAGCTCTAGGCACCTCTCAGGCAAGGGGATGTAGCTCAGCGGGAGAGCGCTTGCTTCGCATGTAAGAGGCCCTGGGTTCAATCCCCAGCATCTCCAGCTTTTTGCCTCATCAAACCCACCTTCTCCACAGGGCGATCTTGATAAAACTCTTCTTCTACCTCTGGAAGGCATCCCCAAAGGAGATACCCTGCACCATGACCCCCAGGCAGAGCTGCCCAGTGGGGACGTGGCGGCAGCCGGGGCCCGCCCTGCCGCCCCCCCCTGCTCTGACAGCCCCTTGCCCACCCAGGAGGGGACGAGCCCTGGCCATGGCTGAGCCATGTCTCTTTGCCCACAGAGCACGAGGCCACACCTCGCTCCCGGCAGTGGTGGGACCATCCCAGCAGAGGGGATGTGGCTGCCCCCTCCGTGCCCCGTCCCTGCAGGGGCTGTGTCTGGCGGTGGGTGCCCAAAAGGAGGGCTTGTCCGGAAGTTGAACCTAGGGGTCCCATCCCGCAGGCCCACCAGTGCCCAGCGCAGGAGAAGGGCAGCTGCCTAGAGTGCTGCTGTCTCCCTCCCCACTGCCCTCCAGCCATCGACTCCCACGAGATGGGGCTGCACTGGCCCCCAGCCCCACATCCAGCTGTGGGTAAAATCTCTCGCTGTGAGCAGGATTCGAACCTGCGCAGGGAAACCCTATTGGATTTCAAGTCCAACGCCTTCACCCCTCGGCCATCACAGCTCCTGGCCTCACTGTATGGGGCAGGGACACCCCAGCTTTGCCCTGAGGTCTGCCTCTGGGGAGAAAATGCCACCCAGCCTGGTGTGGGGCCATCTGCACAGTCCCAGTACCCCTTGGCAGCCCCAGTACCCACACATGCCGGAGTTGGGAAAAGGAGACATCCAGGGGTATTTACCGATGGCTGGGAAAAAATCCAGGTGCAGCAGAGAGCCTCGTCACAGGGCAGGCACCAAAGGGAAGCATCCTCCAGTGATGCCCAGGGAGACAACGGGTTTCGGGGAGAAAAGGACATGGAGATGCTGGGGGTTGAACCCAGGACCTCTTACATGCAAAGCAAGCACTCTCCCGCTGAGCTACATCCCCTGTCCATGGGCAGGGGTAGGGGCCTGGGCAAGTCCCCTTACCCCCCCACCGCTGCCCCACTGCCCACCGCTCACCCTGCTCTGCCCCAAGGGCCCTGACCCCAAAAACAGATCCTTGGGGCACACACTGCCAGCTCTTGGGGGTCCAGCCTCCCCACGGGGATGCACCCAGCCAGGATGTGGCACTGACCCCTCTGTGCCAGGCCCCGCTGCCCTCATCATGCCCTGGTTATGCCACAGTCCCATGTGCCAGCCAAGGAAGGTGGGTGCCCAAAAGGAGGGCTCGTCCGGGAGTTGAACCCGGGACCTCTCACACCCGAAGCGAGAATCATACCCCTAGACCAACGAGCCAGGGTGCTGCACTCCAGTGCACCCCCAGCATCTGCACCCCACAATTTTGGGGGTTGATGAGGGTGGCTGATGCTGCCTTTTGCCCATGGCAGAGACTGGAGCAGGGAAGTCCATCTTACTGTGCCCAGGATGTGGGGCCGGCATTTGGATGTGGCCACAGCACATAACTGCCCTGGCCCCAGTGGCTGTGGGGACAGCTGGACCACAGGGGTCAGCGGGAACCCCTGGGCACAGTCCTGCCCATGTACAGGGGGATGTAGCTCAGTGGGAGAGCGCTTGCTTTGCATGTAAGAGGCCCTGGGTTCAACCCCCAGCATCTCCATGTCCTTTTGTCTCCCCAGAGCCCTCTCCCTGCCGGCTGCAGGGCTGGCAGAGCACCCCAGGCCCCACAGAAAAGCCCTGGGGCTGCCTGTGGGTATGGCTGGCCCAGGACTGGGGGGACAGCAGTGGTGCACGGTAGGTGCAGTGGGTGCCCGCACCCCATGCCAGGACACCCGAGAGAGGGAGCTGTCCCACTCACCCTGCCCAACCCAAAGCTGCGGTGACCGTTGGGGGGAACAAGGGGACGAAAGCCAACAGCTGACCCCAAATGAGGTCTGTACTCCCCAGACAAAAGCAGGGCAGGCTTTGCCCAAAGGGAGGACTCCTCTGGGAGTTGGACCCAGGTCCTCTCGCACCTAAAGGTGGAACCGTATCCCAAGCCTGCATTGGGCTCCCCAGCCCTCCCCCTTGGGCTCACAGCCCTGGGCTCAGCGTGGGTCCCAGCTGGCCCACAGCCCACTGGTAAAAGCATCTTGCAGATAAACCCACAACTGACACCCCATGGCTGTGGGTCCCCAGTCTCTCTGGGTGGTCCCTCCCCACAGGGGAGGATTTCATCTGGCCCAGGGGCAAGTGGTCCATGGCTCCCTGCCCTACGTTGCCTCACTCTCCTGGGGCTGCCAGGGAGGAGGTTCCCCGGTACGGGAGCTGCTTCCCAGAGAGGAGGTGAGGAGCAGGGCTGGGGCTGCCGTGGACCCCAACCCGCTCCCGCCCCTGCTTCCCCCAGCCCAGTTCCCATAGTGGCAGGTAAAATCTCTCGCTGTGAGCAGGATTCGAACCTGCGCAGGGAAACCCTATTGGATTTCAAGTCCAACGCCTTCACCCCTCGGCCATCACACGCTGCCCCTTTTTCCTGGGAAGCAGGGAAGCCTCCAGGGTGGCCAGTGCATCCCTGCACACATGCTCAGCCGCGCTCTGCTCCCCAGGGGCTGGTGGCAGGGCCCATCCCTGAAAAGCAGTGCCCAGGGCCTTGGGGTCCCAGGGCAGCACTGCCCCCCCAGCACCCCAGTGCCCGGCACAGGGTGGGGGGTGCCCAATCAGCTGTGCACCCTGGCTCGTTGGTCTAGGGGTATGATTCTCGCTTAGGGTGCAAGAGGTCCCGGGTTCAACTCCCGGACGAGCCCTCCTTTTGGGCACCCACCACCCCACTCCCACCTGGCTGGTGCAGAGCTCATTTGGGACCCGGCTGTTGACTTTTATCCCCCAGGGACACCCCACAGTCACCGGGGCTTTGAGCTTAGCGTGACACACAGGACTGTCCCCCATCCCCGGGGTCCCATTCCTGTGCCTAGGCCCATTGGTCCTGCAGGGTGACTCTGGTGTTGGGGTGGCAGCGGGATGAGAACAGGGGCTGGGCAGGGGCTGTGGCTGTGGCACACCCTGTGGTTGTGGGGCACCCAATGGTGGTGGGGCAGGTGGGCACCATGGCTCAGCTGGTTAAAGCACCTGTCTAGTAAACAGGAGATCCTGGGTTCGACTCCCAGTGGTGCCTGGGCCTGGGGGCTGCTTTTCCTCCCTGCCTCAAGCAGTGCGCTGGGGGACTCTGCCTCGAGTAGGGGTCCCCATTGGCCCCACTCCCTTCTGCCCCATTGGGATTTCTGCCAGTGCTCACAGCCTCCCATCCTTTTGCCCTTTGAGGAGGGTCTGGCTGCAACTTCTCGGTTACCCCCTTCAGTGGGGGATGCATCGCCATGCCCTGGCAGGGCTGGCCACAGCTCCCTGCTTCTCTGCCCTGGTTTGCCCTCTCCCAATGATGAAGCTGCCACGGCACAGTCTGGGTGCATGCTTTTACGGAAAGCTCATTTCAGGGTAGGACAGGGACAGCCCTGGAGATGCTGGGGAATATCTTGAAGTCTGGGTGGGGGCAGAAAGGACTTGGGAGCATCTCTGGGAAGCGGGGTAAGTGTTGGGGGGCCAGCAGCAGCACTTGTGCAATGATGGAGCCCATGGGGACAAGGGGAAGGTGCCCCCTGAGGGTACCAGGGCTGAGGCATCTCCCAGCAGATGTAGGGTCCTGGGAGAGGGGACCCCGGCACAGGCTCTGCTGTGGAGTTGGGTCATGAGATTGGGTGCCCTGCAGTGGGTTTCCAGCACTCATTATGGGCAGCAGAAGAGTTCATTCAGATCATTCAGGGCCGTGTCATCCCTCTTCAGCCCCTGTGCAGGATCCTGCCGTGTCTTGATGCCACACGCTGCCCTGGGGCACTGGGCGCTCCAGCCACCCCACTGGCCCCAGGTGGACCCCGGCCCCTCCAGGACGTGCCCATCGGAGCAGGCGAAGCGGGCGCTTGTGGTGGCCACTTCATTGCTCAGGAGCCCACACTGGGGCGCCTCAACCCGCAGCGTGAAGCCCACCAAGTGGGCCACCTCTGACCAGTGGCCCCACCTAGACGGGGGAGAGGAGATGGTTCATGCCGAGGCCAGGGGGTGTGGGAGGAGGAGACAGTGCAAGCCCTTCGGAGCTGTAGGCAGCCATGGAGGAGGCTTTCCAGCCACAGAGAGGGGACGGGGGGGGCTGGGGGCTCACCTGCCGCTCTGGGACACGG